TGCTATCTATCTATCTATCTATCTATCTATCTATCCATCCATCCATCCATCCATCCATCCATCCATCCATCCATCCATCCATCCATCCATCCTGCCTTCCCTCTTATTTCGATAATATCTTTGTAAAACCAAAAGTCTACTTCAAACCAAAATATGTAATGAGTAGGAAAAAATTAGATTTTAACTGTATATTTTTACCATATTCTTTTTGCTTTCTAAATTTAATTGATCAATTCCAAAACTGAACCAGAACTGAGACACTAGTTTGCAATGACTACCATGCAAACTATAAAGTGATTTCTGCTTAAAAGTCAATTTATATTGAGTTGGTGGCTATAATAAATGTGAAATCTAACCTTTAATATCTGTATGTTAAAGTATACTATATGTTAAGTTTAAGCTTCATTATGCAGCCATGCCGCCACATGTACAAGTACATAAATGAATTACATAATTGCTGATGAGGTATTTAAAGAGGTCTATTTTTTTATGGGGGGTTGCAGAGGATCTGTCCTGAGTGGTTTGGTAGTGATTGCTTGTGAAGCCTTTATGTTTCTCTCTGCCATGTTTTGGTGGGCCGGGGCAATTTGCTGTCAGTGCCTTTTCTGTAAGAGAACAGTGGCACACAAACAAACAGAAGATCTTGCGTGTGTGTGTTTACAAATAGTCTGCTGTGAATCATGCAGAGAATTAGGCCAAGGAAAGAATGACTGGATGATTATCAAGCAAAGAAAAAAGAATCACTTATGGAGCACAACAGAAAATAACTAAAATCTAAGAATTCTGGAGACTTAAATGAAATAGCACTCCTATTTTGCAAAAAAACAAAACAAAAAAACAACAACATGCACCTTCTCAACCATTTTGGTAGGTTAAGTTTGCAAAACAGTAATGTCACCCAGCAAGACTAAAAAGGGGAGTGTAAGTGCAGTAAAGCAATGTGTCAGCTAATAAAGTGACCAGCCACATTCTTTCTTCGCCTGTGCTATAAATTTGTCACTCAAATCTTCAGATCGCTTGCAATATGCTGCACTGAGACTACTTTGACCACTGCATGCACTGTGAGCATTAAAAGTGTTGCGCAACTGCGATCCTTAAATTCACATTCAAACAATAGTGGTCATAAAATGATACAGCTCAGTGGAACCATATGGAAAGAAAACAGAGAACCAGATAGAATAGAAGACTGGGATGAATAACAATTACAGCTTTGATGGAGGGCTAGGCCCATGCGCCAATATGTATGTGTGTGTGTGTGTGGGTGTGTGTGTGTGTAGGGGGGGGTATCAGTTTTTCCCTTCATGCAGCATTGAAACCGACCCCCGATCCTCTCTGTGGTCCACAAACAAAAGACCATCCACCACATCGCAGCTTACTGAATGAGTGAAAATGAGCGCGCAGACGACGTGACAGATGCTCGCGTGCCTTTACAACCACAACACCAAAAGAATTATCACAGCCTGATACATGCACCCACACACACTTTTGTCATTGCTATGGCCTCTAAAACCTGCTGCACCCCCACAGTACATCACTAAAGCATATTTTTATTTTACTTAGACATAGAAAAAACATAAGAATTTGTTGGAATGTAAAAGGAGAAAAGAAGTCAACAAAAATGTAAAAATTGCTAATAGTTAGGTGACCCACCCTGACTTTAACATATTTTTTTTAACCCAAATGTGAGTCTTACATTTTTACTGGGCTTAAAAAATGAATTGAGAGAGCATGAATAGCCCTTAAAAATATAATTGCAGCTGAGGGATTGTAGGGTAGGGATGAAGGTAGCAGAACTTAGGAAATAGGGAATATGTACCTGTGTCCTAAAGAGATGGTCAGTTGGCTCTTTGAGGTTATGTCTACAAGGTCTATACACTCAAAAGCCTTTATAGGAAGTGCATGAACAGCTCTGCAGCCAAGCAAGGGGCAGTTTGTTTGTACAAAATGCATGCTTTTGCTGAGACGGTTGCAGGCTAAGTCACCTCTGGAGCAGTAAAACTATCTTTGGGAAGCTAGAAGCCAAAGTTACACCAAACCTTAAAAAATCTACAGACATCACATGCTTTGCACCTGCTGAGGATGATGAGAATTTGTAACTGAATTACTTAAGTCTGAAACCACTACGTTTGTTTGGCACCTCTGGTTATCTAGCGTGCCTAAACGTATTAAGCCTCCATCTGCTTTTTTTAAATTTAGATTATAGCTGAACCCCCTCTATACATTAATTGTTGTATTCTCTGGTGTTTAAGACCTCAGTGCCCCCGGCTCCTCTCTAAACATTGTCCTTTTCTTTTGCTCACTTCTTCCATAAAATCCAGAGCTGACTTTGTTCTCCAAATGTGATTAGCTTCCCTGGGACGCAGAGGCTAATTGTATTAGTCTATTGTGAGCAGTTGGAACTATGGAAATGTTTAGTGCCCGTATCAAACCTGTTTAAAAACAACCACACTGTTGAAAAAGATGTGCAAAAGAGGAGTGAATACAAACATTTTGCAGACTTGGCTCAGCCAATGAATAAGCAATATGGGTGTGAATAAAGGGGGGCTTCTGTTTTGTGTTCATACACGTTTGGAACGTTTCATCATTTTTTGTTCTTCTGAATAAAAAAAGATACACAAAAGCATTGGGGGTAAGGCAGATGATTTGCATTAACTGATCAAAAAAACAACTTGGTTACAAATTGGATAATGTAACTAAGTCTTAACATGGACTTTCATCAGATTTTTATCTTGTAAGATCCACAGCTGTTCTTGATTAATTCATTTACTTTGCACATTATATCCTTTTTTAACTTGAAAAATTATTTATGAATACTTGGAATGAACATGTTTTTTAAAATCAATTGTAAAATAACAGGAAGGTAAAGTTCTCCTTCTCAGGTCTTTTGGGCCCTCTTACAAGTTTCCTTCCAGGTTTTCAATGTATTTACCTCCATTTATCTTCCCATCAACTCTGAGTAAAGTCTTTGAAAATGTGGAGGATGGGCTCATGTTCAAGTATAGTGCGTAGTTTTTTGCCCTACATAGTGGTTTTCATAGTCCAAAACTTTTCCATTTTGGACTAATCTTACCACAGAACATTCTTCCGCATTAGCTGATTACATGGCTTGTTAAAAACTGCTAAATATTTAATTAATGGCTTTTCTTTATCCTCTTTTCTGAAAAAAATTGATTTCTGGACTGTTCCACTAAGAGTTTAATTTGCATATGGTTCCCTGTAACCCCTCCAAGCCTAGGCCTTTGGATGGTTCTCTTATTTATGTTGCTGTTAGTATAGGGGTAGGACTTAACAGATTTTGAAAATTGGATCTTATATAAGGTTTCCAAAAAAGTAAAAAAAATAAATAAATAAAATTATTATTACAATTCTGACATTTTTAATTGAAAAAGCTTCCTGGATGGGAAGCGAAACATCTTCCAACTTGGAAATTAAGTCCAGTGGGTTGTTTAAAATATTTTTTGGAATGACTATGACCTGGATGATGGAGAATCTTCCCCAGTATCTTATATAGGGATATCAGAATAAACAGAGGTTACAGTAATACTACATGCATATATCTGACGGAAAAAAAAAAAGATATACAACCTAAATATGCATAGATGTTTGTGGTCATAAAACACACAAAAAGGTATATTGTGGAATGGATACTTTTAAGAACAACTAACTTTATTTAATGGTTGATGTTTTCTCTAAATGTGTATGAAGGAGAAGGCCAGAGAGAAGTTCAGGGCATTATTCCTAACTTTCAACACCAGTAATCACCACGACCACATGCAGAGGTGCAAAACGTGTGGATAAATGTGGAAAAGCCCTTTGGTGCTTGGTGGTTCATTCTACAATCCCCCATAATAACTAATTTCCTCAGTTTCAGGGAGATGTTGTGGTTGAGGATAACCTCTTTGGAGCTTTTTTGGGGGGCTGGTCCTGGTGCCAAGCCAACCGTACCAGATGGTGACCAGAATGCAAAGTGTGGACATTTTTTAAACCTTAGATCTCTTTAGCTCCCCTCTGTCTTGGTGCTCTTGTCTCAGCAGTGCATGTACATCCATGCGTAATGCTCCTCCTTTTTCCAGGCCATCTGAAACTGCATGCTTGAACTAAGGGAGTTTCGGATGCTGTGCTTGTTAAAAGAAAAAAAAGGAAGAAAAAGTAGGCAGGCTGTTTGAAGTGATGTTGAACAGACTTGCAAACGGGTGGGGGAATGAGCTGTTTCTCGGCGTGACCAACTCTTTAAAGGCATTCATTTAAGTCGGGCTCCTTTCAGCACGATTCGCTACACTGCTTACCCAATTGATGCACTATCACCCTCACAGACAAGTACAGATCAGGCACAACGGAAAGCTTCTTCAATCATTGCGTCCACTACAAGGTACTGTACCTGTGCATGGGAAAGAGAGAGACAGTCTGATGCCACTTTAAAGAGAGAGGAAAGAAGCAGACAAGGAGATATGCCAACACAGCAAATTCTTATATCACTTTGTAGGAGCGGATAATAGGCGCTATCATGTATTATATCAAGAATTGAAATGTGCTGTGCGATGATGCATCTGAGGATGTTTGTATTTCTGTTGAAGATTTAAAGCATTTATACCTGCATAATATATATGGGGATGGCAAGGAAATTGTAAACCTGTGTAAGTAACAGTTGTATAGTGATAAAACGTGTCTCCTGGCACATACAGTACACGTTATCTTAAAAGTTGCAAAAATGTTTTTCTAAAAAAAAAGGCGGGGTTTACAACCACTTTTCCATCCTCTGTTGCGCCTCCTCTTCATTTGGTTATCAACACAACAGGTCGCTAGCCAGTTTAGATTTGAGAATCATTCGTCCTCATCGGGGATGTCATAAAGGGGGGTGGGGGGCTGAAGTGTGGCAAGAGGATTTGAGGCGGGCTCTTTCGTTCTTTCCTCTTTCTTTGGGGTAACGTCTGTACGAAAGCGAGCTCACACGGAGAGAGGCAGCAGAAAAGAGCGCAGGGCGCACAGAGCAAACGCAAGAGGAGAGGAGGAAAGACGCACAGTGGTACTCTGACTGGATGCGCACAAAAAACAGACTGACAAGAGAGTAAGGTTGGGAGGAGAAACTGGTAGATTTTTAACCAGCCTTTTATACCCATTTTTCTTTCTTTTTTCTTTTTGGTTGGGGGAGAAAGCAATGCAGATGCTGATAAAGCCATTGAAGCACTTTCTAAGTTAGAGCTGGCACTGGATCATTTTTATTTTTATTTTTTTTCCACAGTACGAAATAGTGAAAATGACTGGACTATTTTTAACAAGAATGCTGAGAGTTTTCATGGTTTTTGTGCTTGTGGCGCATCCGATTACCGGCAAGACGCTAAAGTATCAGATTTTCGAGGAGCAGAAGGTGGGCACAGTGATCGCCCGCCTGAGAGACGATGTCGCGGATGTTTTGGCAAAACTTCCCAGCTCGGTGTCTCTACGGTTCAGAGCCATGCCGCGGGGGAGCTCCTCTTTACTCACCGTGCGCGAACAAGACGGAGAGATCAGCATTAGATCCAAAATCGATCGCGAGAAACTCTGCGAGCAGAACCTCAACTGTTCCATCCAATTTGACGTCTTAACGCTCCCCACCGAGCACCTTCAGTTGTTTCGTGTTGAAGTAGAGGTGCTGGACATCAATGACAACACGCCGCAGTTTTCCCGAGCCCTCATCCCCATCGAGATTTCAGAGAGCGCAGCTATTGGGGCGCGCATTCCCCTGGACAGCGCCACAGACCCAGATGTCGGTGAGAACTCCTTATATTCGTATGCGCTAGAGCCAAATAACAACTTCAAGATAGACGTGAAGTCCAGGAGCGACGGGGTTAAGTACGTCGAGCTGGTGGTGCTTAAGGAGCTGGATCGGGAGGTGCGCTCCAGTTACGAACTTCAGTACACAGCCTCTGACAGGGGCGTTCCCCCGAGAACAGGATCGACTCTCCTCAGAATCAATATAGCTGACTCTAATGACAACAGTCCTGTTTTTGAGAAGTCATCCTATGTCATTAACTTGCCTGAAAACTCACCTGTTGGCACGCTGCTGGTTGACTTGAACGCCACAGACGCGGATGAGGGCACAAATGCCAAAATTACATATTCATTTAGCAACCACATCTCTTCCAAAATTATAGAGACATTTAAAATTAACACCGACAGTGGTCACCTGACCCTCTTCAGGCGGGTGGACTATGAGACAGTAAATTCCTATGATATTGATGTGCAAGCTCAAGACATGGGTCCAAACTCCATGCCTGCACACTGCAAAATCTTAGTAAAAGTTCTAGATGTGAATGACAACAAGCCAGACATCAGCATAAATTTCCTATCTCAGGGAAATGGAGATGCAGCGTATGTATCTGAGGCATCTCCGCTGGATACAATTGTTGCTTTGGTTAGAGTGGAGGACTTGGACTCCGGGTTAAATGGAGAAATTGAGTGTAAACTTCATGGTCAGGGCTTCTTTAAGCTGCAGAAAACCTATGAGAATAACTACATGATTTTGACCAATGGGTCTCTGGACAGAGAGAACAGGTCAGAGTTCAGCCTGACTGTAGTGGCTGAGGACCGGGGAACCCCGAGTCTCTCCACTGTCAAACATTTCATAGTCCATGTCACAGATGAAAATGACAACACTCCTCATTTTGAAAAGGGACAATATGAGATCTTTAAATCAGAAAACAATGCGCCTGGAGCATACCTGACATCTGTCATGGCTACTGATCCTGACCTGGACACTAATGGGCAGGTTAGCTACTCCATCTTGGAAAACACTATAGGTGGAAGTCCAATTTCCACTTATGTCACCATAGACCCCTCTAATGGCAACATCTATGCTCTACGCTCATTTGATCGGGAGGATGTCAGCCGCATCACTTTTGTTGTGCAAGCCAAAGATGCTGGTAAACCTCCACTGACCAGCAATGCTACCATTGTACTGAACATTTTGGATGAAAATGACAACACCCCTGTTATTGTGGTTCCACAGTTGGGGAATTTTACAGCAGACATCCGTGCTTCAAAGTTCACAGAGGCTGGACATTTAGTGACAGTGGTCCGGGCCATTGATCACGATACAGGAGTCAATGCTGAGCTAATCTGCTCCATTGTCGGAGGCAATGAAGAAGGGTTTTTTGTTATTGAACCAAGGACATGTGAAATCCAAGCCAATGCCAGTCTGGAGCATTTCCCCCATGAACATGCTGAGCTTACTGTGATGGTTAGAGATCAGGGCAGTGAAAGTCTTAGCGCTAAAGCAGTTTTAAAAATCCACCTTGATGAAAACATGGAGAACCATGGGCAGCCAGAAGAAAAGGGTGAATCTCCAATCCGTTTGACCTGGATTATCATCACCATACTTGCCGCTGTCTGTGTTGTGCTTCTGGTCATCATGGTGGCATTTGCTGCCCACAGTAACAGGGAAAAGGACACACAACACTCTTACAACTGTCGGGTGGCAGAGTCCACCCATCAGCACCATCCAAAGAAGCCTTCGCGTCAAATCCACAAAGGGGACATCACCTTGGTACCCACAGTTAATGGAACCCTCCCTATCAGGGCTCACCACAGCTCACCATCAGACACACCTCAGCTGGACCGGGCCCAAATGGGAGTTCCACAGAACATTCACAACCGCCAATCCCTCAACAGCTTGGTGACCATCTCTTCCAATCACATTCCAGAGAGCTTTGCCTTGGAAATGGCACATGCAACTCCACCTGTGGAGGTAAGCATGAGCACATACTAACTTATATCTCTAAAATATTACAAATACAAGTCATCAGCTTTTAGGTTTAAGTCTCCATTTTTCAGCCATGCTCTCTCTCTCTTTTTCTATATCTTTTTCTCTCTCTCACACACACACACACACCAACTTTTCTCCTCCTCCATGCACAGCTGTCTTGATGCAAATAAGTAATCTCCAAATGTGAGAGTGACTCAATCAAAAGTGCCCTGTAGTTTAGTCTGACTCTCATTAAAGCTGATGATAATTGTTGATGTCTTTCGCTTTACCTTGTTTACACCCTGTTATCATCACCCTCATCATTGCCATGACTCACCCCTGAATCATACGTTTCCATAGTTATTTAGACTAATAACAGTCCCAATCTTCTGTTTTTATTATTACAAATTTTTACTTAAATGTCATCCATTTTGTCTCACCCATTTTAAGCAGCCTCTTCATCATCCATTTTGTGTTTATTCAACCATTATTTCTCTCGTCTCTTGTTTCCCCTCATCTTTAATGTCCCATCTGTTCTTCATCCTCCCATTTTTTTTTTGTTTGCTTTATTTTTTTCCCCCTTTCTTTTGTCATTTTTTGGGGATGTAGCAAGTCTCACAGCTTCTGTCCATGCTCCATCAGGGCCAGTACCAGCCCAGACCCAGTTTCCGTGGCAACAAATACTCCCGCAGCTACAGGTAATTTACCCGCTCCCCCAGCCCCCCTCTACTCTTTTTCATGAAAGATTATCCTTTGTTTACTTTACAAACCACTTGTTTCTCATTGTGTAGTTGAATTTCACTTGTCAGTTTACATGATTTGGTGGTTTGTTAGCGTTTTTCACATTTAAATAGTTATCAAACCAGTTTCATTTATTTTAAAATAATACAGTTCATTTTTCTGACAACAATTTCATGTATTTCTCATTAAAAACAGGTTGTGGTTTTGAATGTCTGCATCCATCAGAAATCCCATCATAATATCCTCTTATAATGTCTATGTGATTGATTTATTGAAGCTTCTGGTCGTGTCTGTAAAACATTTTTGATGGGATCTACCTACAATGTAGAATTTATAGGCAAAACCTTGTCTAGTGATTTGACAGATTGCAGAAGCACCCTCAAGTCTGATATGATGAATTTAGTCTCAGCTGCAGGCAGACTGATTCATTCAGCTTACGGTGTTCACAAAAACACAAAATGGCATTGTTGATTTTCAGATAATGCTATAGAATTTAAGTATCTCTCTGGTGCTGTTGTTTTTAGGTATGCATTACAGGACATGGACAAGTTCAGCCTGAAGGACAGTGGCCGAGGGGACAGTGAGGCAGGGGATAGTGACTGTGAGATGGGAAGGGAATCCCCTGTTGATAGATTGCTATTGGGGGAGGCATTTCCTGACCTAATGCAACTCGAAATGCATCACCGACTCCACCAAGGTAAGATATTGCATATATTCCATGCTGTCTAAGCTGTTAAGACAGCTTAGACTGAATGGAATATAGACTGGTTTCTTTTTCTTTCTTTCTTTCTATCAAATTTTGCACCTCTTTCAGTTCCTTTACCTCCCAAGCACCTTATTTGTCAACAACTCACCCATCACCTCTCAATTTATAGAACAATTACACTTTAGCTATATCTGCTCTATAAAACTTTCTGTTTTTTAACTACATTATGTTATATTCTGATTTGAGTAAACTGTTTGATGTGAGGACTTTACATTTTCACACTTCATCTATTTTTTTTTTTTTTACTATCAAATTTAAAGATTATTATACTAACCTGTCCAAGCCACCTGTAAAACAACAGCCAGCATGCCTAGTTTAATACCTGGCTGGCAGGTTTCAGCACCATGGACAGCACAAAGCATAAGCTTATTATTTGTCTTAACACCAGCTTTTACGGCCACTAAATTCACCCTGTTGCAGACACAATCTCCATTGTACACTGCCCTATTCTTCCATACAGCCTTCATTTCTACGCTCGTTATCCAACAGAGAGGGTATAGTGTTCCTTGCCATTTGTGTGTGTGCAGTTGTGTCTGTGTGTTATCTGCCCCTAAGATAGAGTTGTGTCTGTAAAATCATCCCCAGAGCGGAGATGAGTTGTCTGTCACTCATCGGTATGCATCTCAGGGTGCTGTTTTTTCCCCCTCCCTTCACTCTTCTCTTTTTCCCCTTCCTCTTTTTCTTCTGGTGAGTGACAGTGGTGTGCTTTCATGTCTGAACTGAGGAGAATTCTTAGTAATTGCTTTTAGAATGATGTTATTCTCTCCTTCTCTCAATTGCTAGGTCCCTCTCCCTTACATTTTCTTGCTTCCCCAAGAGATCCTTCAAATCTCACTTTCCCTCTGTCATTAATGTATTCTCAGGCTTTATTAAGATGGATAAGGGAAGAAACATGGCCACTCTTTACCACCCTCATCACCTCATGTTTTCATTTGAGAAAGACTTGGACGTGTTACAATTCTTCTCCAAGTTTTTCCCTCCTACTTTTCTTTTCTCTAATTAAGATTAGAAAAGAGATAAAATATAGGACTAATAAGGAGGTTTGCCATTGTTTCTCTTCAATAAAATAATATATTAGAAAATATGTTAAAAATATGTATTAATTGTGGCTTTATTTTCCTTTTTTGTAATCTAACTCTTGAATTATAATAACATAGATGTAAATTATTTACTCTTTTTTTTTTTACAATAATAATCAATATAAAATTCTAAATACATATAGTGTTATTATTTATTCCTAAGCATAAACTAGATAAATTCATTGCAGTTTTGATTTCTGAAAATGTATCTTGTTAATTTATTAAAGAAATAAAATAAATAAAAAACTCACTCACCTGGAAAGTATTGCAACTGATACACACATTTTAAACACACACATTTTTCACTGCAGGCTTTCAATTTAAAATGAGGCAATTATTAGATTTCTTCATAGATGTTGCTGTTAAGAGGTACTATATTATTTGATAGACAATATAGTCTAATTTTTTAGCAAAGTTAAAAAAAGCAGAATATTACTATTTGTATAATTTTTTCACATTAGCTGTTGCTACAGTTTTGACACCACTTTTTAAAGGTATGGAAGCTAAAAAATATATAAGTACATTGTCGCGTGTCTACTAAAAAAAGAAAATAGATTGATCCCATTAAGTTTTCTTTTTTATTTGATGAAGGAGAATAAAATTACAGACAGGAGAATCACTGATTCTTTAACATAGAATTAATTTGTCTTATATATAGCTAATTTGCTATTTATCTTTCTTTCTAAATATTACTTACACATTATTTCATTAACTAATTATTTATTTATGATTTACAATCTGTATACTTGTAAAATTCCATTATAAAAGATACATTTAATTTAGTGTATCAAAGCTTGACTTAATTAAGAAATACACTGTTTATATGTGTTGGTGTGTAAAAAAATCCAGATCTAATGAAATAATCAAGAAAACCATCAAAATCACATGATGTCCTGACACAATAACAAATACATGAGTACCTAAGGTATGCAAGTAATATGAAAAATTTCTCTGCAGTAGTTATATTACTTTGAAAACAAAACAAAACAGTCTTGTATTACCTGAAGACTTCCCTTCTTAGAGGGTATGCTGTCACCCACTTTGAGTTATCTGTATATTGAGGATGTCCAGCCAAAACAATACGCATTAATATAAAAGTTCTAGCAATTTTCCAAATTTCTTTTGAGCTGCTGCCGTCGTGTCACAAAAAGTCAAATGTTATGAGTATTCCTCAGCACAGAGGCTAAACGTTAGCTTGACAGTGCTTTTTCTTGTCTTTGTTTTTTTCTTAACTCTAGCTGTGAGACGTTGCACGGATGAATGTCGCATCTTGGGACACTCTGACCAATGCTGGATGCCTCCCATCTCCTCACCTGGTTTGTCCACCGACTACCGAAACAATATGTACATCCCCGGGGAAGAATCCTCCCAGCAACCACAACTTGATGATGACGAGTCTTCTATTGAGTCAGAAAATCGTAGGAGTTTCCCCACATTTGGCAAGGAGTCTGGGAATGAAGAGGTAGGTGTCAGTGGAGGAGGCATTGTGCCTGGGGAAGTGGCCACATCTCTCCTTACAGAGATGAACTCTGTGTTTCAGCGACTCCTACCCCCCAACATGGACTCCTACACAGATTGCACTGAAAAAAGCCCACCCTCATCCTCATTGACCACAGAGAGCACAAGCATGCATGGTGGCAACATTGCAGGTAACCATAGTAACAACACTGTTCCTCAAGACAGCCATAGGGGTTTGCTCCCTGGTGGTAAAGGTCCTGCTTATCCCCCGGGTGTAGCTGCATGGGCTGCCAATACACACTATTTAAATCCAGGGAACACATCTGTAGGGAGCAACCATCTTTCCTCCTCTACTTCCCCTCCATCCTCAAACTCCACTTCCACCAATGGACAACCACCACACCTTAAGTGGCTGCCAGCCATGGAGGAAATCCCAGAGAATTATGAGGAGGATGACTTTGAGGGTGTGTTCCATCAGGGTCACCAAAGCAGCAAGCGCATTGAGAGTCGCCATGAGGCAAGTATGGATGCTAGTGAGCTTGCCCAAGAGATCAACAAACTGCTACAGGACGTCAGACAGAACTAGGGTGGGATAGGGAAGAACTGACAAGATTTCACTGTGCGTTGCAGGGAAACATTTCACCACATTCTGTCACATTTTTAATATCTGTGCCAAGCTAAAGCTGTATAATTAGATATTTAACTGACTGCTTGTCAGCTTCTTGTCTGTATTACCAAATTTATTCTTTGCCTCAATGGTTAGAGAGACAAGTTACAGAAAAAAAAATAAAAACATTGCTCCTAAATTTTGAAATATCAAAAGCAAGAAGTCAAAGAGCAAATTGAATGAAAATTGCTCAAATGAGTGCATTCAAATTGAAATCTGTTGGAAAAATGTATCCTTTCTTCATTTAATAAGGTAATGTGAAAAGAAACAAACTGTGTGAACTACATCTTGGATTCTACAGAATACAATCTTGTACAGTGTGTCAATGGAAAAATGCAAACTCACTTGAATATTGTGCCATGTCTTCTGTTTGTTATATGGAATGTAAATGTTCAATTTGCCCCTACAGTCTTTTTTACTTCTATATATTTATGTGTTGATGTATGTATGTACAGAAAAAGGAAACAGATGTCTATTTTTTTATATGCGTCACTGTATGTCTTAATATCCTAAAATATGTTGTTGTATCCTTTTCGCTCTTTATTTTGTAATAAAATGTATTTAATTTTGTTTTTGATTGTATGTGGGTGTGTGTGTGAGCGTGAATGTTAAAATCTTTATTATTCAATGCAGTTCCATGTTGGAAGTAATTTTGTATGGTAACATTGTGACCAGTGGGTGATGAATAAAGTGGAGAGAATTCATAACACAATTAAGTTGAAAATGTTTTTGTTAGCGCTTTGCATTTGTTTCATATTCAGCAGATCGATCTGCTGCTTTTCTTTTGCTATCCTTCCACTTGCCCCCCCTGTCTTTTAGCACCCCCTAATGCCCAGTCTTCAGACTGCAAAACATTTACTAAGACAATCTCTAAAACCAAACCTTCTGCAGACATTTATGAAATTTGATTTCATTCAGTTATTTTAAAATTCATGTCTGAGCTAATAATTAAAACATTTGTTCTGAATGAATTCCCAAATTATCTCCTTAGATTAAACTTAATTTGTTTTCATATTAATTTAATTCCATAATAGGATGAGTCCTGAGTTACTCTTATCTGTGAGAGACTTAAACTTATGCTAAGAAATCTAAGCTGGGCAGTGAACAGCATCAATGACTGCACAGAATGAGAAAATGAAACTAAGATATTGTACAACACATCTGTATGTTTCCATATTGCAATTAAGAGCAAGGAAGAAGAGAACCACCGTGTTCTCCTTGCTCACTCTGCCTGTGATTATTAAGGCTTATCTTTACTTGATAGACTGAAGATACCTCCAGCTATGCACACTCAAAGGAGAAAGTGCCACATTAAGCTGAGTTTTAAAGAGACATTAGTTTAGGTTGAATTAAAATAACCTCATGAGGATTGTCTTTAACAAGTTAACAGTTATGTTAGAATTAGCATACAAGTAAGCAAAACCAAGAGGGTGGGCTGGCACCTTTCTATGTTGTGGACCTTTGGAACATTAAAGGATGCATGAAAACATCTCACTGTCTGCAGCCCATTCTCGGGTGCACACCCACCAAAACATGCTTGAAAAGACTTGATAATTAACTCATTTGTCTTCATCATTAACGAGTTTAGGCTCCAATGAGCAACAGGCATTAGTTTTGAGAGAGAAACTGAAATATGCTAGGTGTAAATTAGCTCACCCCATGTGATTGCAAGTAGCACAAATCAAGCAAAAAATCACTTTCATTATTTGGTGGAGTCACCAAGGGTATACTGACATCTTTAAAGCTTAAATTTGTTTCTGTAGTTTTTACCTGTGAATGTCTTTAATAGCTCATTTTATTGGCTAGAAAAAATTGAAAACATGTTGCAAAACACTTAGATAAGATGAGAATGTGCTTTTAGTGGGAAAGGTGACGTTTTACGCCTTACTAAGAAGGCTCTTAGATTGATTTACAAAGCATTGCAAGTGATTATTAAGCCTGTCTTAATGGAACAAAGGCAAAATTGTTGTAAATAGTATTAACAATATATCCATACTGTATGAAGAAAATTGGTTATAATATTAAGCAAGCAAAGTCAAAATGCCCCCCCCCCAAACAAAAAAGAAATACACAAGGATACGCAGCGCACACTTATATTTTCCCTGAAAAACATTACTCCCTAAATTGACTGAATTTTGTTTTGTTTTGGTTTTATTTTGGTACTTTACTTAAGAGGGAAAGTTTGATGGAAATGTTATAAGTAACTAAGGGAAAAATATGTAATCAGCTGATTGATTTACACTTTTTTTTTATTATACATATCCATCCTTCAATGGTCTGTACCCACTTATCAGTGAAGGATCATGGGGTGTATGTTTGGTGCCTAGCTGGAGGGTGCATGCCAACCCGCCCCAGAGCATTAAAGGCAGGCTATTTGGAGAGAGTCCAATTTACCTAGCAATAGAGTTTTTAGAGTGTATGAAGAAACCAGAGTACATACAGGGAACCCATTCATGCAGAAGGAGAATTTTCAAACTCTATGGAGAAGATTTAGATTAAAATTTGAGCTCAGGATTATAGACCTCAAGAGGACAGTTCTTCCAACTGCACCACTGTGCAGCCCATTTATTAAATTATATTATATCATTGGAAATTGTTTATAATGTTGATATTTATAATTCTGACTTTTGACATGGGCAGTAAAACAAACTATATTTGGATTTAAATTTTTACTAAGTTAGCATATCTGTCAAACTATTAAGATTTCCCTTAGTACTGTAACAGCAAAACTGGTGCACTTGATAGCCTATGTGCACCTAACTTTGCTTGGAGCCCCAGGCAGGCAGGGGATCCCACGCAGTCACAAAGATCATTAGCAGAAGACCATTCTGTTTTTTTACTTCTGAATTAGGAGTTTTAAGAGGTAAATCTCAACTTATTTGTTAGTTTCAGTGCAGTTTACCTAACATAAAAATATGTTTACAATAGTAACTGTGCATATAAGTAGGACTGCATAAATATTTTAGCTAGTACAAATTTACAAATTTCTTTTTTTGACACATACATGGCTGCTGTCTTTATATTTGTTGTTAGCATTGAGGACAAATAAACTAGACCTTTCTTTTGAAGAATATGCAGTGTAAATTTACAAGAATATTATTTTTAATTAGACAAAATATCTATACAATGTCCAACTCTTGTTTTTAAATACCTCTATGGTATTTTTTTGTTTTTTCTAATGATCTGTTTTGCTATCTGACCTTAAGTGATATTGTATAAAGGAACAATGAGTCCTCATATAATTTCCTGAAAAGCTAAAAAAAAAAAACTATTTAATGAAGAACAATCAAAGAAATTATATTGTGCTATGTTCAAAATGAGATTGGTAGCACATGATGGATGTTCTTTTGCAGAGAGACATTTTTTTGGCATAGGGTAATGGTGTGTGTAATAGAAAAGAAAGAAAAGAGAAACTCACAGAAAAGGAACTCACAGAACCATTTATAACTACTCACAGTTCATTTTACATAAACACAACATGGCACTGATGTGATGTTGAAATATGAACTCCAGCTTGTTATTGTCCTTGTAAATCCACCATTAAATTGTTTGTCAGTCCTACTTGCTTCTTAGTTCACACCCCAAAACCTGCTCTTCTCCATTTTCCCCTCAACCCATCTACATTCCTACATATCGCACTTTCATCTTTTGGCTATTTCTGTCTGTTTATCTGTCTGTTTGAGACTCACTTGCACACACACCCATAAATATTCCTCTTCAGACACACACACACACACACACACACACATATACACAAATCTAAATCCCTGATGCTTTCTCGGCTCACATCATATCCCCAAGTCCCCACAGACATTAGAATTTGTAATGCTCTTCTGTGCTTCATCTCATTCTGTCACTCTGTGATTAGTGACTAACCACCAGGCCTGTTTTTTTTTTATATTAATTGTTTTCCTCACATCGTCCTGACAAAAGTATTAAATCACACCTCTTCAGATTCATATTTCATTTAAGACAAGCTCTGAAATCTGAACATGCTCTCTCATGCCCTGTTGCTTGCAGAGTTGTTTTGCTGATTTTTATTATGACAGGAAATTAAGACACAGCATGTGGGCATATGGGGTTGGCTGACCTGAAATCAGCTTTTCATCTGAAGTCAAAAACAGAATGCTGACCCTCAGCCCAGGGCTGCTAGACCATGGTAGAGAAACAGGATATTGATATTGACCAGCCTGAAATATAAGCAGAACAAACATCTTGTGGTGATAAAACATCCAGGATGGAATGCTTTATCTTGTTCAGCTTATTGTCCAAGGTACCTCTTGTACCTCATGGTTGTGTGGTTCATCTTAGAAAAAATGAAATAAAAATCATGGATCTACCATTTAACTTAATCAGTCTGTAATAGACAGTCATAAATATAAGTTAATTACAAAAATAGTGTAGTACAGTATAAAGACAAATCTTGACTACATTTACATGCACTAGATATGTCACTTTTTTTTTGGCTGTTTGTTTAATAGCCAGGCAAACATGTCCAGAAGATGGCACTGTGGGACTAATAAATCAACCAGCAGCATATTGCAAGCTTTAAAATCATCACTTCACCCTCAGCCTTGGATTTGAACAAGGTCTGCAGGAGACTTGCAGATGGAGGTGGGAAGTGGTAAGCCCAAGTCCTTTTGTCTGTCAAATTGCACATTGGTCCAAGCATCTACAGTTTGCCCTCTTTGATTACATTAAGGAAGGACCTCTGAGATCTAAATTCTCATTATTTTATAGATATACTTATCCATAGATAGATAGATAGATAGATAGATAGATAGATAGATAGATAGATAGATAGATAGATAGATAGATAGATAGATAGATAGATAGAT